TTTAATGTTTAGTTTTGAAAGAGAGAGAGACCTGAGCAGAGGAGGGGCAGAGAGAGAGGGAGACACAGAATCTGAAGCAGGCTCCAGGGTCTGAGCTGTCAGCACAAAGCCTCACGTGGGGCTCGAACTCCCGAACCACGAGATCATGACCGGAGCCGAAGTCACTTGCTTTAACGAGCCACCCAGGCGCCCCGAGATAGCAGATCTTTAATTGGATACAGTCACCCCCGCCAGCATTCCTATGTCTTCATTCTTGAGCGGTTTTTCTCATTTATTCCACTTATTTGTAGACAGACTTCTCCAACTTTATTTATTTTTTTAATGTTTTATTTTTAACTAACCTCTCCACCCATTGTGGAGCTCGTACCTGCAACCCTTAGGTCAAGGGTCACGTACTCTACCGACTGAGCCAGCCAGGTGCCCCTGTACTTCTCAAACTTTAATCTGTAGATGAAGCGCCTAAGTGTCTTCCAGCATGTCAGAATTCCACCCAGTGGATCTGGGTGGAGCCCAAGGTAATATATTACTAACAGCGTCAGAGATGCCCATGGCTGCCGGTCCAAGGACCACATTTTCCACACCAGGGCTAAAGACAATTTGAGTTCTCAGCCGTTGCAACTTTAAAGGGACGTTCTAGTCATTTTCGGAATGCGTCATTCGAACAAACATGCTCCCTGCCATTTCATAATGTTTTATGATTTGTATAATTTTATAATACTTACCATTAATTTCAAACGTTTCTTCTTAAAAGCAAGCTGGATGCGACCACGTTTTAAACTCAAAAGCCCGGAGAGATAAATGTGGAGTTTGTGGTGGTGATAATTCTTCGTGCAAAACAGTGGCAGGAACATTTAACACAGTGCATTATGGTAAGAACCTGTCCCTAAGAACCGTGAGAGGGAAAATAGTCAAAGTTTAAAAATTGTTAACCGCATGTAGTATGTAAAAGTATTCATGTCAGGCGTAAAGTCAGTCTTATTAGGGTACTTGAGCTGTCCGGCTAGAAGACACTCAAGAGTGAGAATTGTATTACACCCCTGGGTGGCCCACCTTTTATTCCATACCTAGAGAAAGTGACTTGTGCTGTGGAATACTGAGTTTTGGCTAAATTCTTTTCAGGTTATAATACTGTGGTCCGAATTCCAGCCGGTGCTACCAATATCGACGTGCGGCAGCACAGTTTCTCAGGGAAATCAGAGGATGATAACTACTTGGGTAAGATGGCCTGTCCCCTGCCATGGGCGGGAATTCTGGTTCTCTGGAGCCGTTGGCAGGTGCTCCCTCCTTCCCCCTTCAGCGCCCAGAGAGCTTTCAGATGTCGTGTGTTTTCATACAAGAAGTTGATCTTGAAATTCCTTATTTTGTTTCTCCCTCATGTGTATACCCTCGAAGTATGGAATGAAGAGTCGTGTAGTTACCCTAGTCAATATCAGGGCTTTATTCTGGATCGCAGTAAATAGGAAGGCCCTAAATCAGACTTTGAAAGCGCTTACCTTGTAAGTTCAGCGTAAAAATTTAAAGGTACCACTTCCCCTAATTTTTGTGGTGTCAGCTCTAACCAGTTATAGACCACTGGTGTGGACCTATTCGACATTTCGTTACGCCCTGTTATTCCAAAAGGTTCTAGAGTGGTACATTTTTCTCATGTCATGACTAGAATGGCCCGCCTTGTTCCTTTATAGATTCTTCATCCTTCTCTCATGTCCAGGCACATGACTAATTCATGTCTGTGCCTTCTGTTTAAACCACAACGCGCCAACAACCCTGTGTTCATTTCAACAGTTTGCTCAGCCCAATCCCACGTCAACTTGTCCTTCTGTAAACCGCTGTGATTATGAAATTTTCCCAACCACTTTTAATTAAGAGAAGGACAAGGGGAGTGAGGTCATGACTGAAGGGATTCAGCTGGTCACCTTGCACAACCAGACTCCTCCAAGCCACGGAAGGCAGCGTGGCTTGCCCTCTGATCTAGAAGAAATCACAGCAGTCTGGCTGGGCAGTCACGTTTTAAAAAAAATGAATGTACTTGTTCTCTTACAATGTCCAGGCAGAAACTCTATTTAATCTATCTGAATTCAGCCTCTGTAGAGGCTTTCTCCACACATTTGGGCATCATGAGCTAGTCAGTGAGTATTTGTTGAATCAAATTAGAATCCCTATCTGTATTTTGGAATATCTACATGAAATCCTTCGTAAGTAGACAATGATCCTTTGGCCACGCATGCTAATCCAGTATGATATGCATACACAACTTCATCATAGTATTTTCTGCAGTGTATATTCATTCATTCATTCATTCATTCCCTTATTTAATATGTGCCAGGCACTCTTCTGGGTACAATAAGCCAAAATAAAAGAATAAGTAAGTAAAAATCACTGTCTCCTTGGAGCTTTTTAGTGAGAGAAGAGAGACAATAAGCAATAACTTAACAGATAAACTGTATACTGTTAGAAGGTGGGAAGTGCTGTTAGAAAATAGAACAACAGAAGGGAAATTGGGATACTGAGGATGAGTTGGGAACAATGGAGCTGAAATGTTTTCATTGTAGCAGGAGAAAACAGGTTGATTGGGGGAAGAGCATTCCAGGCAGAGGGAACAGCCAGTGCAAAATCCTTGAAATGGGAGCATGTCTAGATTGCTCCGAGAATAGAGGGAGGCCCGTGTGGCTGTAGCTGCAGCACAGAGGAGAGTTCTAGATGAGGCTAACCATGTACCAGGACTAGATAATATAGGGCCATATAACCATTGAAAGGACTTGCTCATACTCTGGGAGACATGGGGAGCTAGTGAAGGTTGGGAGCTGAGGAATAACTTGATATAATCACATTTGTGTTTTCAGAGGAGCACTTAGGCTGGAAGAAGGACACAGAGTAAATGCAAGAAGACTGGTTGGGAATTATTGCAGTAGTCCAAGAGAGAGATGCTAGTGGTTTGGTCCCCATTAGGAGCACTGGAGGTGACAGTACCTGGTTGAAATCTGGATATTTTCTGAAGGCAGAATCATCATGATTTGTTGGTAGATTGAATATGGTATATGAGAGAGAAAAAGAAGTCAGGGTGACGCCAGGATTTCTACCTGAGCAGCTGAGAAGACAGAGTTGCCATGAGCTGAGATGAGACAATTTGTTTGTTATTTATCCATATGACCAGTAGGGTCTTAAGGTCAGAGGCTGTGTCTTTATATCTTTAGTCCTTGATGTAAAGACGATACATATACATGCTAAGTAAATGATTGTTCAGTTGTTAGACGGTCAATGCTCATGCTTTTTTAAAAATTTTTTTTAAATGCTTATTTATTTTTGAGAGAGACAGAGACAGAGACAGAACGTGAGCGGGGGAGGGGCAGAGAGAGAAGGAGACACAGAATCTGAAGCAGGCTCCAGGCTCGGAGCTGTCAGCACAGACCTGACCTGACACGGGGCTCGAACTCACAAGCTGTGAGATCATGACCTGAGCCGAAGTTGGCCGCCCGACCGACTGAGCCACCCAGGCGCCCCAACTCATGTTGTCTTTACTGGGTGTTTCCTATGTGCTTAACGGGGGGATGAGATTATCATGTAAATATACAGAACCATCCCTTCTTTTAAAGACCACGGAGTGTCACTTGGAATCTTTCACTCAGTAACTGCGTCAACTTTTTCCCACCCTAGATATCCAAATGAATGGTGACTTTATAAAACAATTAACAAAGTTCTTGGGGATGCTTTTCAATTTACCTTTGGGGGGAATCCACATTTCTCATTTCAGCACCGAGCAAAATAGGTCAAGCGTTTTTGTTTTTGTTTTTGTTTTTGTTTTTGTTTTTGTTTTTGTTTTTGTTTTTCGTGCCCTGCGTTATAAACTTGAACATGTGGCTGCTATGGCCCTGGTACTTCCTAATTAAATCCTGCAGCATCGCGTGCAACCTCCTTTATTAATTCATTTCCTGAAAGCCAAAAGCCATGTTGACCTGCTTCTTTCTTTTCCTTGAAAAGGAGAAGAATTCTTCTCTCTTCTTTCCCTTCTTGGAAAGATCTTCCAAGTAGTAGCCTTAGTTCAATTGAACTTCATGAACCAGGCCAGGCACCTGAACTGGGGAGGCCTTCCTGATAACCTTGTATTCCTCATTGGAGGTTTCTTAATCTCCTTGTAAAGAATGAAAGCAAAATTCACGAAGATTTGTCATCTGGGACATGCAGGCTGAGGCATTCGTGGCTCTTTAGTGGAATATTGTGGTAAAGTCACCTGTTGACCAAAGAACTTTCTGGAAGCAAATGAGAAGTATGCAGGCGTAGATGGCCAGTCACAGTTCACTGAGTGTGAAAGTCAAGACCTCAGGGCCTTTGAACATTGCAGTGGCTTCTTAACAAGTGAGGAAGAACATGATGTCATCCAATCTGAGGTGTGTACAAATTCATGCTCGGCCCGAAGGAAGGTAGAGCAAATGCTCCAAGAAGGTTTTAAAACCCACAGCTGTTTCCATTGCTGAGGTATCTTCATCCTTTTCCCTCACATTTTTTTAAAGGCCAGTCAAGCCATGCTCTTTCCGCATGCGTTGGTGAGGAGCCGTTTCCAGGGGAGAGGGCCTTTGTAGCAACCTAGCTCTGATGGGTGAAATGGGGGGGAAACCAACCCAGGAAATTAGCTCCCCTAATCGCATTAGTGGAAGGTTGGGCAGGAGACTGTTGTTTGCAGGAAGCTATTTGTTTCACAAGGTACCGAAGCAGAAAGTCTCCCTGTCAAAGGTCATCCTTTCACACAGCCCGCTCCCTCCGGTTGGGTTGGAGCCAAGCTGCACCCAGTGCCACCATGTTCGAGTTTCTCTAGGAGAAAAAGGGGCCATTGCCATGATACGTGTTGTCTCCAGTTCACTTAGCTCTTGATTAATTATGGCAACGGGAAGACAGGAATCAATTCAGTTGGGAGATAAAGCACGAAGTTCAGTTCACCTGACGACTCCTATCTCTTTCCCTCCTCACCATCTACTGGGAGAAGGAGCACGCAGGGAAGGGGAACATGGCCCGAGTTGGCACGAGCTGGAGAGGAAGGCAGGAGACTTTGGGGAGGAGCCCCAGAATGGACCTGCGGTAGACGGTTGCTCTTTGAGTACGACCAAAACTGGATTATCGCTTAATTTACAGAACAGGCCTTGTGACATCTCATTTCCCCCGTTCTGGTGAAACATCAGCTGGGTAGCCAGCAGGCGACTTCCCTTGAAAGGACTGGGTGATTTTGCTGGCAGCACGTCCTGCCATCACCGTGTAAATGACCCACATTAGGAGGCAGCCTCGGGATGTCTGAGGGACCACGGAAACAACCTCGCCTCCAATCAGTGACCCATTGCAACTCCTGCGTCTTGCATGGCCGGTGGATGTCACGTTGCAGAAGCTGCAGGGGAGACAAGGCTGTCAGAGGTTTACACTGACAGGGAAACGGTCATTTGCCTGGAAGCACTCTGTTCTCCTTGCCATAAATGTCAGGTCCGATCCATCACTCCTTCTTTTCAACGTCACTGATTGAGCACCTACTATGGGCCAGGACCTTTCCTGGGGTTATAAAAGTGCATTGTTCCATGGTCACTTGACTGGCAAAAACAATGACTTAAATTTTTTCAAATCTGTGGCTCACCATATTTGATTTCAACTTGTAAGTTAGAGAAAGCATGCATGAATTCATTCACTCATTTAACAGACGTTCATTGACCTCATCGTTAGAAAATTTTAGTGGTTCACAGGCTCTGGAGACAGACTTCCCATGATTAGAAATCACCTTCCCTTGGGAAGGTATTTTAATAATATTTACGTCATGCTTTTCCCATCCCTAAATTAGGCATCCGTAAAGATATGGTAAGAAGACAGCGCATATGAAGGCATCCTGATCGGACAGCAGCTGCAGCCAGTGTGCACTATCTTGTTTAATGTTTGTAACAATCCAGTAAGAAACCCATTAAACAGAGGAAGAAGTTGAGGCTTAGAGAGGTTATGTAACTTACCCAAGGTCACATAAACTTCTCAGAAGGTGGAAAGAGTTGGAATCGTTATTGGTCTGACTTCGGACCCTACACCCTTAACCCACTTCATTTTCCTACCTCAGTGTAGAAAAACGTATGGCTGACTTAGGGATATGAATGGAAATTGAGGTTTATTGTTGGCAGTGAATAGTGTGGCTGGAAAGATAGGTTAAGATAAGATTGGCAAAGACCCAGGCAGGTTATGCTGAGTTTGAACTGCGTTGTATAGGTAGGGAGGATTATCAAAGGATTTGGGTCAAGAAGAAGCCAAGGTTTTGGAGGGTTTGTGTTTTTAAAAGCTTTTTTCCCTGTCACCACATTCTTCCCAACCATTTCATATGAAGGTATCTCGTTCTTCCCTCAGGACCAAGGTAGGGCTTATATGAGTGGGTAAGTAAAGTACTAGATTAGGGACAGAATTCAATGCACTTGATCAGTGACCCTAGAAAGAGTAGTTCTTGCATCAGTGTAGTGTCCAAATGACTGAACTCTGTGGGGTTTCCATGTCCAAGAAAACAAGGACCCTGGTGCCACTGAGCCACCAAGAATGTTCAGAACCTCATCTCAGCCCTCAGGCATCTCTGCAAGGCCAACTTTCCCTAAACCCTCTACACCCTCTCCTACATACACGCTGCTTCTGGCCTGCCTGGTAAAAGACAAGATATCACCTGCATCGGTGAAAGAGAGGTTAGAATCTGGCTAATGCCTAAGACAGCTCGGCTCTCCATCCCACAACCAAGATCAACGTCACTAACGTGATGCTGAGGCATGACCTCATGAATCGTGCGCTGCATAGTTTCTGGAGCAGCTGGGATAAATTGGTTGACACTGGCACCCGGGATGAAACCTACCTGCTGCCCGAGTTAAATTTCCACATGCCTTTTATTCACTTAAATACACGGCCTGTGCATTTCGATTCTCTCCCTACTGAGATTTACTAATTGTGCACCACTTATAAAAGGTAAGAGGGCCTTTTTCTGATATTTTGTTCAGGGCGAAATATTTAATAGCTCTGATTTATTGAGTGCCTGTTTTATGTCAAGCCCAATACTCAGAAGGATTCATTATTCCAGGAGTAGTAGAACTGAAAAAAAAATTAAGTGGTACTTAAAATAAAACCAAAATTGTATAATAAATACTAAGGGGGAAAGATACGATTGGGATTTTCTCTTGAGAAATTAATCAAGTAGGATGAAGATAAGTTTGTTTTTTCTTACGTTCAATAAAATTATATTTTCATGTCAATCATGCCCAGGTTTTTAGATGATAAGATAAAGCAATTGATAAATATTCCTACCTAAGTTTTCCAGTTAAATTATGTGCTAGCAGAGTAGTACATTCTTTGCTTAAATTTGTTTGAATTTCACAGAAAAATCTGAAAAGGAGTTATTTTTATAAAAGCTTTCTGGAACTGGGGAACCTAGGTGGCTCAGTCAGTTATACATCTGACTTCGGCTCAGGTCATGATCTCACGGTTTGTGAGTTGGAGCCCCGCTTTGGGCTCTGCGCTGATAGCTTATAGCCGAGAGCCTGCTTTGGATTCTGTATCTCCCTCTCTCTCTGTCCCTTCCTCTCTTTCTCTCTCTCAAAATGCATGAACATTTAAAAAAGATTTTTAAAGCTTTCTGGGGCTTTATTCACTTTCTCAATAGTCTCTCTTGCACTTGGACTTAGGTAAATGATTTCTTCTGAAGCAGCTGTCATCTTATCTTCTCTGTCCACTGTATTTACTTTCCCTAAGTTTGTAAGTGGTCTAACTCCATCAAGCTCTCAATTGGCTAATATTTTGGACAATATGACTTTTCATGCTTTTCTGATTTTTTCATCTTTTTCAAGATGTGCAGTAGATCCAGTCATTCTTTCCAAAAACAAAGTATTTATTGATGGGGTACCATGTCCTCTTTTTGAAGCTAGATATAGCAGTGCATAAAGGGGTCCAGAAATCCTTGCCCTCATGGGGCTTACATTCTTGTTTGGGGAGAGAGAGGATAAAGTGTTATGGAAGAAAATTAAGGGCAGGGGAAAGGTATGGGAAGTATGGAATCTGTGTGGTAGTGGGAGGGGGTTGCAGTTTTAAAAAGAATGGTCCAGAAAGGTATATTACTTATCTTTTATTGCATAACAAATTATCTCAAGACTTTGTGGCTTAGAAAGCAACTGTCTACTATATGCCAGTATCTGTGTGTCAGGAAATTGAAAGCAGCAGAGCTGGGTGTTTCTGGCTTGGTCTCTCATGAGGTGGCAGTTAAGACTTCATTTAGGGCTGTGATCACATCCAAAAGCTTGACTGGGGCTGATGGCTCCATTCCAAAATGCCTCATTCAGATGCTGTTGATAGAAGGCTCTAGTTGGTTTTTTTTTCTTTTTCTCTTTTTTACTTTTCTTTTTTTTAATTTATATCCAAATTAGTTAGCATATAGTGCAACACTGAGTTCAGGAGTAGATTCCTTAGTGCCCCTTACCCACTTAGCTCATCCCTCCTCCCACAACCCCTCCCCTTAACCCTCTGTTTGTTCTCCATATTTATGAGTCTCTTATGTTTTGTTCCCCTCCCTGTTTTTATATTATTTTTGTTTCCCTTCCCTTATGTTCATCTGTTTTGTCTCTTAAAGTCCTCATATGAGTGAATTCATGTGATATTTGTCTTTCTCTGAGTGACTAATTTCACTTAGCATATTACCCACCAGTTCCATCCACGTTGTTGCAAATGACAAGATTTCACTCTTTTTGACGGAGAAGGCTCTAGTTCTTTATAGGAACTCTCTCAGTGGGGCTGCTTGGATATTTTCACAACATGGAGGTTCAGCTGGCTTCTCCAAAGCCAGAGAATCAAGGAAGAGTTCCCCAATGCCTAAGACCTGGCCTTGGAAATCACAGTCTGTCATTTCCTCCTAATTGTAATGATTACACAGTCAGTGTTATTCCATGTGGGAGAGGACGACACAGGATGTGAATATCAGGAGGCAGGGATCATTGGGGCCATATTGGAGGCTGGCTACTCTACTAGACCTCAGTGAAAAAGGTGACATTTAAGCATCATGTTGGCTGTGAATTTTCAGATTTCAATATCTGTGAAAGAAGACTAACAAAGATTCAACTAATCAGACTCAACTAATCCTAACAGAAAATAGGGATATTTGCATGGGAATCGATTTTGTAATGTTCAGTTCATTAGTACATATTTTCAAATCATGAGACTTTTGCTTCCACCAGTAATGCTATAATGTAGGGCTTGTATATCAAATGCTATGCTAATTAAGACCCATATATTATATTTCAGTAATATAATTACAGGGTCAGGTGTTTTCATCTCCATTTTAGAGATAAGGAAGTGGATACTGAGAGAGGGAAAGTGAGTTCCCAAGGCCACGGAGCTGGCAAATGGCAAAACTAAGTTTTGAGTTCATCCTGTCTGGCCAAAAAGTTTATATTCTTTGCACTCTGACTCTGTCTATCAGAGTGTTATTTCATAATTCAGACAGTGAGTCATTGGCAGAAAATCAGTGAATTCTCGTTTCTCATCTACAGCTTTATCAAGCAGTAAAGGTGAATTCTTACTAAATGGAGACTTCGTGGTCACAATGTCTAAAAGGGAAATCCGCATTGGGAACGCTGTGATAGAGTACAGCGGGTCCGACAATGTCGTGGAAAGAATTAACTCCACAGACCGCATCGAACAAGAACTTTTGCTTCAGGTAAAAACTTGGCCATGAGCCCACCACCCTTTCCTTCCACTTGGAATCACCAGACCTGCAAACATCGTCTCCATTTTGTCCACTTGTCCCAGGTGTTGTCGGTGGGAAAGTTATACAACCCTGATGTGCGCTATTCATTCAATATTCCAATTGAAGACAAACCCCAGCAGTTTTACTGGAACAGTCACGGGCCCTGGCAAGCCTGCAGCAAACCCTGCCAAGGTATCTACTTTTCGGTTGTGTTTTGGGGATTTGAACTGTTTTTTGTTTCTTTTTATTTATTGTTTGTTTTTTTGGAGGCAGCCAAACACATGTGATCTATAAAACTCTATCTGCATGCATTCTCAAATCTCCTTTCCCTGCATCTTTCTGGTTATTTTTAGCTGGCAAGTTGAGCTTTTTAAGTGTTTCGGGATTTGTTGGCTTTCCTCTTTTTAAGCGATTCGGGATTTGTTGGCTTTCCTCTTTTTAAGCAATTCATATACATTGTGAAGCCAAGAAAGTCAGTTCTGCCACTTTGATTTTCCAGAGACATGGAGTTAGTAGTCATATTACGTGTCATTCATCTTGTTTCCTGCCTAAATTGGGGGTTAGCAGATTACCGCCAGTGGGCCAAATCCAGCCTGCTACCTGCTTTTATAAGTAAAGTTTTATTGGAATGCAGCCACACCTATGGGTACATATTGTTTATGAATGGTTGCTTTTGTCCTATCATGGCAGAGTGGAGTAGTTGTCACAGAGGTCATAAGGCCCACAAAACCAAAAATATTAATTAACCCAGTACAGAAAATGTTTGTCAGTCCCTGGGCTAACTAGTTTATAGAATGGGTGCTTTTCTCTGATTGTTTTCTTCCTTGCCTAGGGGAGCGGAAGCGCAAACCCGTTTGCACCCGGGAATCTGATCAGCTTACGGTTTCTGATCAAAGATGTGACCGGCTGCCCCAGCCAGGACCCATTACTGAACCTTGTGGCACAGACTGTGACCTGAGGTGAGGCTGGTGTTTGCTTATGGTCTTTACTATGAGCAGTGAGGGTCTTGTAGGGGAAGGAACGGAAGGAAGAGACAGTGGTGTTTAGTTCCTCTTCCCTTCCTTGTGTTTCTGTGAAATAAGCTTCAGCCAATTTTCCATCCCTCTGAAACCAATTATCCAAGACATATGCCTGCGGATTTCCTGTCCTTCTCCTAAGAATTAAAAATAGCTAATAGAGTATGGCACTTGCCAAAAGAAGTTCTCATTTGACTTTCACAACTCAGTACGTAGGTATTGTTATGATCGAATCACATCTTACGTAACAGTTTGGTATGAACGTCAACAGAAAAGGGGGAAATGTCATTTCTCAGAGCACCCGTATGATGTTCTCTATACACCCAGAGTGTGTATCACCCAGGAGAAAAAATCGTATGCATATGAAAGTTGCAAGGCACTAACAAGAACGTCATGGAAGCAACTAGAAGGAACTATAGCTAGAAGATATCTAGATATTGCAAATACTCTGTATTGTATTTAAGAAAATAGGAAACCTGAGGCAAGAAATAGTGAATGGGTACAGAATTCTAAAGCTTTCTCATTGACCCGCTAGGTTGACTGTGTCAGGTTTGAAATATTAAAATAGCCTGGGTATTGTGTTGTGTAATCTGCATGTCAGTTAAATGCAGGTAACAGAAGTTGATGCTTTAATTCTCCTTTTACAGAACAGAAATTATCAATGTGGAGTGGTGTGGGAAATTGTTAGGATCTTACCGTTTGGAAGTGGCAAAGTGAATACCTAAGCATTTTGCAGCTTCTTTGCCATGGTGCCAAATCTGATCAAATGATATTGGCAGCCTATAGTGCTGGAGTGAAGATTATAAGGCCCTCTTGAGGCTCTGAGAGAAAAGAGGAGTGCTGCGATCAATTAGTAATGTCTGTCACGAGAGTAGGTGGGGGTGCCACGGCGTGAGTGCCACATCTTTGCCAGGCCTGACCTGGTGGCTTTGACTTCAAAACCCAGACTCTCTCCACCCCCGCTATACTTATGTCTACCCAGCAACAGTTACCTGCTTGTTCAATGAGCTTGTTGCAAAGCATTGACAAGCCATTATAGAAAGAGAAAACCCAAGACATTAAAAGGCAGACATTGGCACTATGCGATATTAATTCTTGTTATAGGTAATGTACTTATAAACCCATTGCTTCAGCCAGTTGAGTTGATTTAGTTGAATTAGAGTTAAGGTCTTTTCAGAAAAATAATTAGTTAGCTATTTGCTGAACTGAATCACCAAAGTTTAGGGGAAAAACTATGAATTAGTAAGTAGATTCCCTGAGGTAGAGCTTCAATAAATTGAGAAAGGTGACATTTTCAGATTAGTCCTATATCAAATTATCACTGAAAATAATGATGTTCTATAATTAATAATTAATTAATATTAATTAATAGTATATGTAGCATATAAGAATATTCTATGTAGCATAATATTATATGTAGCATATAAGAATATTAATTAGATTCTAATAGGAAAATATATAACTGTTAAAATAGTTTTTACTAAATGGTTGATGATTATTGTGTTCAGAGTAGTTACCACCCCAAATAATATTAATACCAATTGCTATTATGAATTATTATTAATTAATAATATTAACATTATTAGTATTAATAATTAATATAATTAAGAATATTAGTGTTGATTACTGATTAATAATACTAATAATTATTAATAGTAATTTATATTAATATTATTTAGGGTGGTAACTACTCTGAACATAATCGTCAACCATTTACTAAGATACATTTTCCTATTAATAGAATATAATTAATATTCTTATGTGCTACATATAATCATGTCCTATTAAAATAATTAAGGCTCTATTACTATCCTATTAAATTAATATAGGGCCGACATTAATATATGTCCTATGCAATTAATATTTTATTAATTACCCCAAACAACATAATGACCTAAGAATTACAGTTAGCCTCCACTTTACAAATAAGGAAACGGGCTGAGAGAAGTTAAACAAAGTGCCTGAGGTCATACAACTATTAGTTGAAGTGGCAGGAGTCAAACGTGGTCTTTCACAACCTGGATTCTATACTCTTAAACCCTAGGAGAAAGCCATTTTAATTCAGTCACAATGATCAGGGTTACTCATTGATCCCGTTCTGTGAAGCTTTTCTACCTTTGCGCATAGAAACGGCTCCCAGGACTTCTGTGCCTCATCCCTGTCCCCTGACTTGGATAAGTAAGGCACTTGCTGTCACTTCTCCACGAGCAGAATCACACTGGGACTGGTAGAGTCTCAGATGATGACAGCCCATGCTGTGGGACTCCTGCCCACAGCGCTGTAAGCACGCTCTTCTGTGGCAAGGAAGGCATGTTTGTACAAAGCATTTCAAGTCCTAGAATGTGACCTTAAGTAAATAAACAATTCTTCAAGAACCCTGCTGAAAGCCTACCTAAGGACCAATGCGAGGGTGGAGATGTTTGAGCAATTACTTCCAGAAATGAATATTCTTAACTTCAAATAGATTTAAAGCAAGCCACGATTTAGTTTGTGGTGTTGCTAGCGAATCACTGTTCTCCAGAGTTTCTCCTGCATTGGAAGCTTTCAGATGTAAAACAAAAATTAAAGCAAATTTTACAAAGTGAATGCGATTACAGGTAGCCTGAAGTCCATGAGACTTTTATGTAGAATGATACCAAAGATCTCAACTGGGTTTCTCCTCAAACTTTGTGTTATTGGCTTCTGCGGAGCTACATGATATTAGAACTTGGCTGCAGAATAAAATACCAAGGGTGGTAGTTATAATGATAACAGCTACTCTTCTTGAAGGCCTGGCTTGTGTATTAAATGCTATTCATGTTGTAGCTTATTTATCGTTTCGAGTAGTCCTGTAAATTGGACCCAATTTCCCCCCGTTTTGCAGATGAAGAAACTGAAGCTTGGTGAGGTTGAGTCACCTGTCTGGGTGTTGGAAACACCTGGGTGTTGGAGCTCACGTTCACACCCAGGTATAACTTCATAATACCCAGGTCAAACCAGAGCTTAAAGTCTCTTCATTTCATAAAGTAGGTGTGTCAAAGGTGCTATTGTAAATTCCCCATTTGGAGTAAGCCACCTTGTTTTAATACTTTAAAAAAAATGTACTTAATTCTACAGAAGTAGAGGAGGAGGGGGATAGCAGCTCTGGGAACAAGCTTGGGTGATAATAGGACCTCTGGCTGATCAAAGAAAAGAAAGTGAAGGAACTGCAGGCCTGCCTCTCCTTGCCACTATACAGGTGCATTCTCGCATCTGAAATTAAATAGATCGTGCTTCCTTGTCAGCACTCAGACTCATTCCTTACTGAATGTTATAGACTGTCGGAAAAAAAGTTGTTCGCTGAAAAATGTACAAAAATATATACCAAGCCCCAGCAAAGGTGTTCTGTCTTTCTTCTCTCTGTGAACTTGACTGTCATTTCATTGTGGTTCATACTAATTATTGCTGAATGTCTGTGGAAAACACTGAAAGACTGGAGAGAGGACTGTTACTGATGGATCAAACTCTAAATAGTTTTTCCCAAAGCATGTTTGTGGAACACGAGTTCCACGAGATGATTTGTGGAGAACCAGTATGCGTGAGGAGCCTTACCAACTGTCTCCTCCCGTGTGGAAATACATCATGTCAGTTAACACTTGGAAGGCCCTGAGAAAGCCCTGAAATACAGAAACCTGCTTAAATCAGTAGTTCCCAAATTGATTCCTAGTTTTATGTACTTCACAGCCGCCGGCACACCCACGGAGGCATATACATTTTTTTGTTTCCACTTATAATAAACACTTTGCCTCTCTGAAATATAGTCATAAAATGATTTGTCACATGAAATGAACCAAATGAATTCAAAACACTCAAGCTGAGACCACCTTCCAGGGAGAGAATATGAAGCGGATGACCGCATTTTGAAAAGAACTTTCCTAAGGCCATGCTGTAACATTTCCGCAGTCTCTTCCAGCTTCTCTGTTCAAATTCCAGGGATTGTGTGAATATCAGTGAGACTTACTACACTTGACCTACGGGTGTATTGTTTTTTGTGGGGGGCTGGGGGGTAGGGGCAGGACTCCTACCTCCCTTACCCGGGATAAGCTTTCTACGAGAAAATGGTGATGAAGGCAGAGAGAAGGTAGCCAAGAATCAAAGAGCAGATGAAAGTTCCAGATGCCTCTGTTGAATTGGACCACATTTTTGCCTCACTTCCTCAGGGAAGTGAGAGTTTGCCCAGATTAAACTTTGACAGGATGAGATAAAGCTTTGTTTTACAATCCCTCATTTAACATGTTCCGGTGAGAACAAAATCCCAAAATACTGTGTCACTCTAACGGAAAATCTCAGTAGCCCACTTTATATGCCAAGCGTAAAAGTTGGTCAACTCTGACCTACTTTTAAGCATTTGTGAGAAACTCCAAGATAAGCGTGTGGCCAGTGCTCATTGTTTTCCAGCCCTGCCCCTGGACAGGTGTGGATGGAAGAATTCTTCAGGCTCCCTGTATTTGGCAAACCACCCAATTTCTGAGGAGACAATTAACAAGAGTTCATTCAAATGAAGAATGTAAAGAAATTATCCTTTTTTGATTACTAAATTGAACCAACAACCTACCTTTTAAGCTTATTTATTCATGCTCTTCTATTCAGTTTAGGATTTTTTTTTTTTTTTTTAATTTAAGCACTGACTGTGTTTTGGGGGCATTTAAGAATAACTCAATTCCTCAGCACACACAGAGTACATCTTGCGTCCCAAGAAAGGCTCATTAGAGGTATTAGGGATACAAAGATGATAAAGATTTGTCGATTCAATTCTAAATTTAAAAGTATATAATCATGGGGCCAGGAGGAATGAATAGATGAAGAACAGAATTTTTAGTTTTTTTGTGAAAATATTCTATGATATGATAGTGATGGATACATGTGATTTTACATTTGCCTAAACCTATGGAACATGTAACACCAAGAGTAAGCACTCGTGTAAACTATGGATTTGGGGTGGTGCTGATATGTCAGTGTAATTGATTATAACACATGCACCCTCTGTGGGTAGAATGTTGATACTGGGGAGGGTATGCATGTGTGGGGGCTGGTGCATATGGGAAACCTCTGTACCTCCCTCTCTGTTTTGCCGTGGACCTTAAAGCTGCTCTAAAAAAGTAAGTCTTTTAAAAAAATTGTATAATTAAACTGTGTAGACTATGGTCCATGTCTAAAAGGAGCTTAGTCTTTATTCACAGTAACGTATACAGAGTTCAGCACACTTGAAATTCACAGTTACCCTCCAACTATCTGTGCCTTTATTAAGTCACAGGATATTCACTAAACGCTTTTCAGCCTGGCCCCTATGAAGGAGGCTTTCTCGGGAGAGTTTCCAACAGTGGTTGTCTATTAGAAGCAGCCTTCTTGAGAAATGAAATGCTGAGTTGCATGAGCCTTTTAAATACAAAATTGCTTTTTTTTGCTCTGCTGAATTCCAATGTTTTCCTCTTTTTGGTTGCTTGAACTTCAGATTGACTGAAGGGAGAATCTTCACAAAGATGGCACCTCTGACTTCCACTCTGACTTCCATGTACATTGGCAGCCATGAAAAATACATGGATATGTTGGTTTAAAATTGGATTTCAGTAGCTGACTGTGGCTTTGGGTTTCGCGGTATTTGAGTTAAGGAAGAAAAAAGAACTCAATTTTTCCGCCGGCTGACTATAAATGGGACATACATATTTAACAGAAATGTTGGTTTCTCCCCATTATTTATGCATAGGTGGCACATTGCCAGCAGGAGTGAATGTAGCGCCCAGTGTGGCTTGGGTTACCGCACACTAGACATCTACTGTGCCAAATATAGCAGGCTAGATGGGAAGACCGAGAAGGTTGACGACAGTTTTTGCAACAGTCACCCCAAACCAAGCAACCGGGAAAAGTGCTCAGGAGAATGTAACACGGGTGGCTGGCGCTATTCTGCCTGGACTGAAGTAAGTCGGTTCTCACTCGATGAGCGTTTTCTTGGATGCTAAGTCTGAGTAGTTAATGATGGCTGATCAACTAATGGATTAGTGAGGGCTGCATTGAGAAACCCCCATTTAGACTTTCTATCTGCATTGATTTATAATGCCTGACCTCATTCTGCAGAAAAGAGTACCATGATCAATTTGTAATGTTTGATTATATGACATTGACCATGGCATGTGGAAAACCGGGGGCAGTGGAACAACTCATCCAATCCCCTTTTCCATACCCCGCAAACCGTTTCCAAATTTCTTTCCCTGTGTCCGTTTACTAATACTGACTTCGGTATGAACTTGGTAAATAAATTGATAACATGAACAGATGCTCCCCAAATCACTACTAGAATTGGGTTGGGTGGGTGGGTGTTTCTTAAGGGCCGGAGGAGACACACGGCAGAGCCAGGATCTTGACCATGCCGGATAGGAAACTTAGCAGCGGTTTTATTTCGTTCATTTTCCTTTCAGTGCTCCAAAAGCTGTGATGGTGGCAGCCAGAGAAGAAGGGCGATTTGCGTCAACACCCGCAACGATGTACTGGACGATCGCAAATGCGCACATCAAGAGAAAGTCACCATTCAGAGATGCAATGAGTTCTCTTGTCCACAGTGGAAGTCAGCAGACTGGTCAGAGGTAAGATAAGAGGACTCTTATTTCCTCAGGTCATCTGTGGTACTTTGAGTCTCTGCGGCTCAGTGCAACCTAAACCTGCTGCACCTTTCTGCCCCCTACCCCGGAGGAAGCAACTGTCGTTCCCCATCTGCCCCATAGCTGCCGTACAGGATGTGACTGGTCCACTGGTGACCTCAGAGGCGTGGTGGGTTTGGCCGGATCACCCACTGTGATAGCTTCTGTTGGTGATTTTGAAGTTCCTGCGTCTTACCTTTCCTCCTCTTTGAGCCCCTGCTAAATCATGGTAAAAGAAAACAAGGGCTTTGTTAATCCGAAATCTGTGCTGGCTTAGAACTGAAGTTAAAAAGAACAAGAAACAAAAGAGGTTTTCTACGTTCTTGTCTGTGAAATAAGATCATTCGACCCCAGTGAGTAACCTATTGGACTCACCCATCCAGTTGCTAGTGGAAAACTTAGAAAAGAAAGGACTAGTTGAGGGTTCCAGACTTTTGCCTGTCTCATCCCTTACCTGATGAAACAAAAGGCAAAGCCTCATTGCTGAGCACAGATGGCCCCAGGACAGCAAGAGAAAGAAGGAAGAGCCTTTTTCTTGCTTTTATGGTGTGGTATTAACACTCACTATTAACCCAGACCAGTGAGAGTCTCACCAAGCAGGTGACTGCCTCCGTCTTCCTTTATGGGAGCAAGGGGAGAGGAGAGCAGAAGTTCCCTTACTTGGGGGCCAAGTCAGGAATGTGGGGAAAGAGGTTTCCCTGAACAACTTCTGTGCCCATTTCCTTATCTCAACCATGTAAGCACGGTATTAACTGTTTCCTTTCAACAGCAAATAAAATACGAATCTTGAAAGGATATTATAGATGCCCCCTGAAATGGCTGAGAGTGAACGCATAGGATTAACAGTGTCTGATTCCTGCACAAGTTAACAACAAACCCACTGTTTTTGTTCTGTTAACAAGCTGCCTTAGCTTAAACTCCAGTGTTTGGTTTTAAAAAGATGAAAGAAGGTAGTGGGTTAAAGTTTTACTCAGATAGCTCATGATAGCTAAAGGACCACTTCAAATCGAGTAACCAACCTTTGCAAGAATACTTGGTAAAATGGAGGTGGGGGGATGCTAACTATATATTCAGTATGATGCAACATTCCTTAGCTTAGAAAACTGGGAAGGAAACAGCAAAATGTTAATAATGATTATCCCTGGGGAGGGAGATTTTTTTTTTTAATCATTATAGTTTTCTCTCTTCTGTTTTTCTGTATTTTTCAAATGTTCTACAATGAGCATTTGATAAGGATGATATTTAACATTTATTAAATGAACATATGGTAAGCACTTTATTTGGATTTTTTTGGTTAGTTTTCACAATTCTTTGCATTGGACACTACTGTTATCCCCATTGTGCAAATGAGAAAACTGAGGTACGGAGACATCACTTGCATTGGTACCTATAGCTGTTTGTGTTGGAATTAAAACCCAGGCTGAGCCCCACACCTAACTCCTGTGCTAGGAAACCATGAATGTTGTTTTTCAGTACAGATGGTCCCCGACTTACGATGGTTCAACTTCGCAATTTTTTTTTTTTAACTTTACAATGGTGTGAAAGCAATACACATTTCGTCAAAATTGTTCTTTGAATTTTGAATGTGGATCTCTCCCCGGGCTGGCTGTCTGTGGTCCATACTCTCTGGTGAAACTGGGCAGCCGTGCAATCAAAACCATATGAGGGTCAACAGTGGATATATCCACAACCATTCTGTCCCCGCACAACAGCTTTATTTTTCACTTTCAGGACAGTATTCAGCAAATTACATGAGATAGCCAGCACGTTATTATAAAAGAGGCTTTGTGTTAGACGATTTTGCGGAACCGTAGGCTCATGTAAGTGTTCTGAGTACGTTTAAGGCAGGCTGGGCTACGCTATGATGTTCCGTAGGTTGGGTGTATTAAGTGCATTTTCAACTTAGGATATTTGAATCCTAAGTTGAATTTACCTGGATGTAAGCCCATCGTAGGTTGGGGAAGTTCTATATCTCGTGGCGTAGTGCTGTGCCGAGTTTATTCTGTGCTTGATACCGTCCAGAGCCTTTATCAATACAGAAGGAGTGAATGAATGAGTGAATGAGTGAACGCATGAACGAGAGAAAAATGAGCCGTGCCGTATTTACAAATTGCTGTGGGAGAGAGCGCATCTGTTCCTCCTGATTACCCGTGAATAATCCCTGGGAACCACAACACATTGTTCAGAAACACCCCCGATTGTCTGTCCTTTTTCTTACAGTGCCTGGTCACCTGCGGAAAAGGACATAAGCACCGCCAGGTCTGGTGTCAGTTTGGGGAAGATCGATTAAACGATAGAAGCTGTGACCCTGAGACCAAGCCAGCCTCCATACTGACTTGTCAGCAGCCAGAATGTGCGTCCTGGCAGGCGGGTCCCTGGGGACAGGTATTTTGAACGATAAAAGTTCTTAACTACATTCTTTCCTTCTTATCTGGAGAGGGCTTGCAGAGGGGCATTCCGGTGGTGGGGATTTAACTGCTGGGTCTCATGACTTGCACTGGACCTCCATGGCGCCAGATCGAGCGCAAGACGCACTGCAGCCATTCTGCCCCAGGTCTGGGGATTGCTGCTTTCCCCGCTGGAGCTGGTTATTCCCTTTGTAGATATGCGTGCAAGTCTTCGTGCACAGATTCCCACCAGATCTCCTGTCTGGCTGATGTTAATCTTTTTTTTTTTTTTTTTAATGTTTATTTATTTACTTTTGAGAGAGAGAGAGCACGTGTTGGCAGCGTAGGGGCAGAGAGAGAGAGAGGGAAAGAGAGAATCTCAAGCAGGCTCCGTGCGGTCGGCACGGAGCCCGATGCGGGGCTGGAACCCACGAACTGTGAGGTCATGACCTGAGCTGAAACCAAGAGCTGGGTGGGTGACTGAGCCACCCAGGTGCCCCCTGATGCTACTGTCCGGAATGCGACTGTGGGTTGCTACGGAATGGGGTCCAGTGCCTTTGGCAGGGGGTTCTGGACCGGGATTTGGAAGGGATGTTTTGGCTACCATGTCACGGTTCCAAAGCTCACCTCTCATAAACCAGTCAGACACTTCATACAGAATGAGCGTGATCAAAAGTTGCAGAATCATCTCGCTGTGAAAGAATCTTTCCCATCCCCTAGTGTGTCGGTTCCACAGTCTGAACCTGAGCTTTTCTTAAAGGAGAGAGTGGAAGTCTCCCTTGGGCTCACATCTGAGAAGCCACTGCTCTTGAAATGAAGTCCTTCCCAATATAGAAGCAAAAGCATTCTGGGTACTATTTAAGTAGCACTCCAAGTTCCCGAGAGAAGCGAAACAGCTGTCTGCTGTCACTTATGCAATCTCTTGAAGAATAACTCTCCCTCCCCGCCCCCCTGCCCAGCAGCAACCAGTCTTCTCGTTTATGTCTTCATTTCCAAGATGCATGCAATAAATGAGAGCAGCTTTATTACTACCCCCTTACAATTTTTATGAACCTGATGTTCTTCTGAACCCTCCTGTGGTACAGCATCGCTAGTCAGAATGGCTGATCATATCTGATTACACTAACAAGGAGAGTCTCTTACACTCCTAAATCCAGGCTCCTTTTTGTCAACATCTGCGTAGCTCTTAGGGAACGAGAGAAAGAGAGAGGGAGAAAGAGAAGCCAGCTCAGAGTCACTGAGAAGATTTGAGTATAACATCTTTTACAACTGATGGGCGTCTTTTTTATCCATGTCTACACCAAACCATCAGCACACCAAGCCACGTTTCTGTGCTTCTTTCCTTTCTGTGGCTACTTAATTTTCCTTTATGCAGATGTACCGTATTTGTGTATCCATTCATACCAAGCTGGACATTTGGGTTGTTTGTACCTTTTGGCTATTATGAATAGTGCTGAGATGAATATTCACGTACGAGTATTTGTTTTAGTACCTGATTTCGGTTCTTTTGGGTGTATCCCAGGAGTGGTATTGCTGGATCGTATGGGAAGCCTGTTTTGCTCTCTTTAACTGCCAGTTTTGCACAAAACCCCTACCATATTACATTCCTACCAATAATACACAAGGGTTCCATTTTCTCTACTCCATCCCTTTTTAATTATGCTTATTATATTCCCCCTTTTACATTATGGCTCTTGGTGGGAGTAAAGTAGCATCTCGTTATAATTTTGATTTGGCATTTCCCTGATAACAAGTGATAATGAGAGTCTTTTCGTGTGCTTTTTGGACATTTGTGTATCTTCTTTGGAGAAATGTCTATTCACGTCCTTTGCCCATTTTTTAAAAGTTTGTAATTATGGTTAAAAAAACCACATAACATGGGCGCCTGGGTGGCTCAGTCAGTTAAGCGTCCGACTTTGGCTCAGGTCACGATCTCGCGGTCCGTGAGTTCGAGCCCCGCGTCGGGCTCTGTGCTGACTGCTCAGAGCCTGGAGCTTGTTTCAGATTCTGTGTCTCCCTCTCTCTCTGACCCTCCCCTGTTCATGCTCTGTCTCTCTCTGTCTCAAAAATAAATAAACGTTAAAAAAAAATTAAAAAAAACCCCACATAACATCAAATTTACCATCTTAACCATTTTTAAATGTACAGTTTAATCGTTCTTCTTTTCCCATTTTTTAATGAGGTTGGCTTTTTGTTGTTGAATTGTAGTTGCTCCTTATAGTGTGGATTTTAACCCTTCATCAGACATATGATTTACAAATAATTTCCCCAATCCCATGGTGGTTGTCTTTCCACTCCACTAGTGGTGCCCAGTGGTACAGAAATTTTTAACTGTGACAAAATACAACTTGTCTTGTTTTTTCTTTTGTTCCCTGTGCTTGTGGTAGAATATCCAAGAAATCATTATCCAAGAAAGTTCCATGTCGTGGAGCTTTTCTATTACCTTTTCTTCTAAGAGTTTTATAGTTTTACCTCTTATGTTTAGGTCTTTGATCTATTTAGGGTTGATTTTTATAAATAGCATGAGGTAGGAGTCCAGCTTTATGCTTTTTCATATAGACAGCCAGTTGCCCCCAAGGTATTTGTTAAAGAGACTATTCTTTCCCCCTACTGAAGGGTCTTGGCATCTTGGTTAGAAATCACTTGGCCATAGATGTCCAGGTTTATCTCTGGACTCAATTCTATTCCATGAGTGTATATAACTATCCTTATGTTAGTACCACACTGTTTCGGTCACTGTAGCTTTGTAGTGAGTGTTGAAATAGGGGTATATTGAGTCACAGGCAAGGGGTTGAACCCCTACACATAGAATTTCAATGGGAGATGGAAATAATTCCAACCATCAAAGTGATAATCGTTGTATATAATTTGTGCAGAGCAGGAGTGCCCACGTTAACCTAGGTTCTTTGGGTGCTAGCCTTCTGCTCCACTATGATGGAACTACTTTTTTTCTTATAGGACGTTATCAGGAAAGTTAGGGAAAGAGAAAATTTGCTCACGTGTGCATCCCTTTTGTTGTATTTCTTTCCCTCAGTGCAGTGTCACTTGTGGACAAGGATACCAGCTGAGGGCAGTGAAGTGCATCATTGGGACTTACATGTCAGTGGTCGATGACAATGACTGCAATGCAGCCACTAGACCAACTGATACCCAGGTGAGTCTCCTTTGTCCAGCCCAGTGATTGGCTTTGGGCAGTAGGATGCCAGAATTTCCCAGTGGTTCAGTGAGAATGGAAGTGCTCTAATGGGTAAGTGTGTAGGTAGAGTAACCAGATGATTAAGTAAATGGTCCAGATTTACCTGTTGGCTACATTTTGAATCTAATATTTGGACATACAAGTTTCATTCTTCTCTGGTTATTTGAAGTATAGGTGGGTCTGATTCTGATTTTTCATTGGCTAGCAAATGTTGATTGTTTGGTCTTGTTTTCTTGAGCTCAGAGGGTTTTTTTTTGTTTGTTTGTTTTTTTTTTTTAGTGATTTTAACATAGGGCTGAGCAAATAGTGTTGTATGTTCAGGCAGCAACGTGCTAGAGCTGGCTCGTACCATCTCACACGAGTGGATTGGTGAATGTTCAGGAATGTTGCGAGCTAGTTGCTAAATGTAGACACTAGTAAAAATTGAAAATATAAGCCTATAATTAAGTAGATGATATTTCAACGAAGCAGATAAATACTCAAAACTCACATTTTTCCATTGCTTGACTACATTTTACTATTATCTGTGCCCTTGAGGTTATTTACATTTACAGGTGTGTCCATGTGGTGGGAATATTACATAATGGTAAGCTATTGCACATCTCTTCCCAAGTCTGTGTTCATCGACATCAAGCTGGTAGTTTGAAATTGGCTGTGGTGAGAGTATTTACACCACAGGAATCAGCAAATGCTATAATTGAGGGTTAATTGATTGTTTTTAGACTTAAGAAAGTGATGGAGAAAATGATACTCATATGCAATCTACATTATGTTTAAAAGAGTCTTCTGTCTTTAGCTGTTACATTGGAAATAACACATACAAATTTCAAGGAAATACTCTTCCGGTATTTGTACATTATTGTCTGATTCGGCGTAGAAGTCATTCACGTCGTTGGTAGATGAAGTTCTGACATAGGTCTTGTTTGTTCCACTTTCTCCTTACTCTTCAACATAAACAAAATAGCAGCTCTCATTCATGTCTGAAGTGCACTCATTCAGCAGTTACAACCATATTTTGGCAACAGATTCAAGAATTCAACAAAAATCAGCGACAGGATTCTGTGAGACTCAACTGGCTACGTGGAATTTAAAAGAAAGCATTGTATATTTTATTACTATCTGTAAATTGTGTACCATACAGCCTTTGTATCAGTAAACTTTGTGATAACCAAACAAACATATGTATGCATATATAGGTGTATATGGGCATGTAATATGTGTGTGTATACATGTAAATGCATTTCTACAAACACACACACACACTCCTTTTTTCTCACGAGAGCCAGCTGACCATTACTGCCACTACTTCCTCTTTATGGGCCATGATTTTAGCATCGTTTATGGGAAGAGACTATGTAAAGAGAAGACTTGGGTTTCTACATCAGTTTTGCCAATTGCCGAAGACAGGATTTGAACCCTGACGGTGCCCAGAGCTCACGCTCTAAGGCCCCCTTTGGCCAATGCGCTGATTCCATTCTGAGGGCCCTCATTCTGTCTGCGTCAAAAAATACAGGAATATGGCAGTGTTGTTCATGTTGTCACTGATCGATGATAAAATACCACTTGTGACTTGTGTCCCCTTTATTATTATTTTTATTTTATTTTTTTTTTTACTTTATTGAAATGCTCTAAACCACCACAGGCTAAATGCCTGCGAAATGTTAGCTATTCCATCTGAATAGGCATGAACTGAGGATTCAGCAACTCCCTTAGAGATTCACAATACTTGTTTCTCTCTACATTATTCTGTAATATTCAGTGGAGTACAGGGCGGCTCCCACAGTTGAAGCATATGGACCATTTCTTCACTGTGGGAAAAGTTTCCTGTGGTTTTCTTTGGACCACCGGCAGAAGAATAGGCAGGGTCTGGAGCCAAGTAGCAGAATTTCCCCATTCAGTTTGTAAGCTCCCTAATGTCAGGCTCGGTCCCGAGCTCACCACACTTTGCACCATGCCTGGCACATTCAGTAATTTAATGGGTATGTATTTAATCAAAGAGTATTTGCTAAATTGTGAGCAAGTACGTACTTCTGTTTTCCCATCTGTAAACCTGAAAGTATTATCTACACACAAATAACCTCAATTCATTATAGGGATTTCCTCTGAGTGACTGAAGAGTGTTATTTATATACATTCCAGGCATTGGCATATTGAATAGACCTCTTATCTAGATTTGACCATCAGAACCTCAGGAGTTCTCTTTGGGTAAACCTAGAAAGCCAGTTCATGATTAGCAAATTCTGATTAGGAAATTAATTGAAATGTGAAAACAGAATTTTGTCTTTGGAATTTTTAAAAATTAACAACTGATATATATTTTTTATTTTGAGAGAGAGAGACAGAGAGAGAGCAAGTCGGGGAGAGGGGCAGAGGGAGAGAGAAAAAGAATTTAAGCAGGCCCCATGCTCAGCGAGGAGCCCAATGTGGGGTTCGATCCCATGACCCTGGGATCTGACCTGAACCAAAATCAAGAGTTGGACGCTCAACAGACTGAGCCACCCAGGCACCCCAACAATTGACAATTTTGAAAGGATATCCTTTTCTTTCTTAACTTAGCTGCCATTTTGCAATCGCTTTTTTTCTTTCCACATGAACAGGCAAATAAATATGATATTAACAATCACCAAGTAAATCCCTGCCCTATATCAGTGCATTCATGAGGTGACTCAGATTATACCCCATTTTACACTTGAAAAAAACTGGGGCCGAGAGATGCCATGTGATTTTCCCAGAATTCTGAGGTCTTAGAATTCTTCATTCTTATATTTTTATTCACCTGGACCCTTAAAGTGTGCATTGACTTCAAGGTAACTTTGACTTTCTTCCCCCTCTCCCATCTAGGACTGTGAATTACCATCTTGTCACCCTCCCCCAGCTGCCCCGGAAGGAAGAAGAAGCACGCAGAGTGCACCAAGAACCCAGTGGCGATTTGGGTCTTGGACACCAGTAAGAAATAGATGGCAGACATAGAGAGGGTGGAAGGGGAGGAAGAGGTTCCCTGACTTGACTGTAGGAAGTGGGTTGCTGTCCAATGAACCATCGTGTCCAATAACATCCCTGCATTATCTTACTTCAACACCCAGTGCTCAGCCACTTGTGGAAAAGGTACTCGGATGAGATATGTCAGCTGTCGGGACGAAGACGGCTCTGTGGCTGACGAGAGCGCCTGTGTGACTCTGCCTAGACCAGTGGCAAAGGAAGAATGTTCTGTGACTCCCTGTGGGCAGTGGAAAGCTTTGGACTGGAGCCCTGTAAGCGAGTGGATTCTTGGGAATTGGGAAATGACTGGGGGAACCATAGAGGATGACTAACGACAGGTCACAAATGTCAATGGGTACTGTTTTATAATTGGACTTAGTTTATGATTTAAATTATTTTGCCTCATATGTGTGCGGCTGGTATGAATCTTGGCCGGATGTGCAAGAAATGGATGTTGTTAAAATGTGTAAGTCAACTTGCAGTTGACTGATGCCCCATCCTGTTGGGTTGACTGGAAAACCCGGTGTTGATTGGGTCACATCGGAATGTAATAGGCTTGTGGAGCACCACAAGTGCCAGGGAGAAGAGGGGGAGTCAGGAAAGAGCCTCTTACCTTGAGTCTGGGTGCCTCCTAGAACCCAGACTCTTGAAGTTCAGAGGTTCTTGGCTTCTCTGTCAAGAGTGGGAAGTGGGAATCCTCATCCAATGCTATGGGCTCGGCCTCCTGTGCACACCAGGCACCATCTATGGGCTTGTGTAAAAGTAGAAAAACCTTCATTTTCAGGTGGCACCTGCCTTCTGCCTTGCAAAACTCCCAGCAATAGGGAAATATAAAGCTTAGGATAGGTGAGGAGAGGGCATCAGGAAAATAGAGAAGTAATATCTCCATAAATATCATAACATAAGTATGAAATTTGAGCAATAGATTCAAAGAGAGCCGTGTAAAAATCCAGATCTTGACACATACTGGCTGCATAACCTTGAGCAGTCTGGTTAATTTGAACCTCAATTTCTTCTTTTTAAAAGACCCAAAAGAGTACCTATCTTACAAAGATGTTGTATTATTTGAGATTGCCTATGTTAACTGCTTAGGACAAAGTAGGTGCTCAATAAATGATAATCTCACTCTGATGCCTTGAGCTTCCAGTCCATCCGTCCGTCCATCCATCCATCCATCCATTAAATACACCTGTCTGTGCACCAGATATTTGTAAAAGCTTAGTGTAGAAAAAGCAATGAACAGCAAATAAGAAAGTCTTAGCCTTCATGAAGATCATTCTGATGGAGGTTCCAGTCAGTCAACAAATAGAGAGAGAGATTTAGCAACAGACACTGACAATTACTAGAAACAAGTCAAGCAGCATAATAGCATAGGGAAAAATGGAGTATGCTTTTAGACAGCGTGGTCAGAGAAGGCCCGATAGCACGCTGAGCAAGACTTGAATGAAGTGAGAGAGTGAGCCATGTGGGCATCCATGTTGTTCGGGAAAAGATAGCAGCAGTTACAAAGACCCTGAGTAGAGAGTGTTCTTGGCATGGTCAAGAAACATCCGTAAGACCAGTTTGGCTGGAGTGCAATATGTGCTAGGAGATGGGTCAAGGAGGTCGCCAGTGGCCATATCACAGAGGGCCTCCCAGGCCAAGGTACGGACTTTGGACATTTTTCAAAGTGAGTTGGGAAGTCACTGGAGGAAATGGCATGATCTTTTATTTGTAGGTGTCATAGTTGCTGATACGTGGACCACAGACTAGGGCTGCAGGGAGGGGTTCGACGTTGTAAACAGGAGCCCAGCTGAAAAGCCATTGTGGTGCTCCTGGCAGGGGAAGGTGACAGCAGAGACGGTGGGGAATGGATGGATTGGGGTATCTGTGACGACTGAGCTGACAGGGTGTCTCAGTGAGATGGCTGCAGGGTGGGAAGACAAGGGAGCAGACACGGACGATGCCAGAGTTTGGGGTCTGGGCAACCGAGCGGGCGCTGAGCCACTCACAGAAAACGCACACTGATGGGTTTGTGCCTGCCAATGACCGACCCTTTCTCTTTCTGGGTGTTCGACGTAGTGCTCCGTGACTTGTGGGCAAGGCAGGGCGACCCGGGAAGTGGTGTGTGTCAACTACAGTGACCACGTGATTGATCGGAGTGAGTGCGATCCAGACTACATCCCAGAAACCGACCAGGACTGTTCCACCTCACCATGCCCTCAGCGGACCCCAGACAGCGGTCTCGCTCAGCACCCCTTCCAAAGCGAGGATTTCCGCCCCAGAAGCGCGGGCCCCAGCCGCACCCATGTGCTTGGTGGAAACCAGTGGAGGACTGGCCCCTGGGGAGCAGTGAGTATTCCCTGAAGTCCTTCTCTACTTTGCTTTCTTCTCCTTCACCCTTGCAGCTTTGGGGGCAGACAAACTAGAAACACATCTGAAGCCCTTTTTTCTCACAAGGGCTTGGCCTTGTACATTCCCATTGGTTTTGGATGAACCCTAACGGGTTCATCACAGTCCCTAAAAAGTTGTCCCCCGATAGTGCCTGCAGGCCACCTAGAAGCTGCCTTAACTGGGTGGAGGGGGAGGCATATCACAGCTGGACAACAGCATCGGGTGGCCTCCTAGGAGGTACCGTGAGGGCCAGGATGATTGATCCCGGAGGCAAGGACAGAGGAAGTTTTCTGATAGGGAGCTCTTAATGGAAGTGGTTTTCCTTCTTGCTGTTTTCTAGACGAGTGCAGTCTCAAAGTGGCATGATCCATGCATAATTTGTAGTAGTAGATCATTGTCCTGGACTGAGGGGAATCACTGGTCCAGATAATTCTGTGCTTAGGGGAGCAGTACCAGAATCTAACGGCGAGCAGCACAGGCTCCGAATGAAGGTGCCTCTGTGTGAGCCAACGACCTACACTTTCAGATTTTGAGATATTTAGCATGCCCCCTAGTCTCAAGGAGCCTCAGTTTGCTCCTTTGTAAAACAAAGTGAACAACAATTCCAGCTCTCCTGGGTGGTTGTAAGGAACAAATGTGACGATGGAAATAAAGTGCTTTGCACGCTGCCTGCCCCAGAGTGAGAATTTTCTCAGTATTCTTAGCATTGCCCTTCACGTGATGAAGACCTTGAAAAATACTGAATTTTAGGTTTTTCACTAAATATTTTTCGCAAAGTAATTATATTGTGCAATACTGGACATGTCTGATGGGACTGCAGGAGGGGTAAGAGAGCAGGGGACCCCGCATAGGTGTGGGAAGTCGGAAGATGTCTAGTAATCACCCCGGGGTCTTCGTTCTAATTGTTTACTCTCAGTTTCCTTCGCATACCACTAATTGTGTTTAATTATTTCTGAACTAAAACGCATTAGAAGGAAGCTGCGTGCTTCCCACTGTGGTTATGTTTCAGTAAGTGAGTTTTTCTTTTCCTGTGACTACTGATGAGCCGTCAGCCATTTCCACCCAGTGCAAGTATTGGTTGTCCGCAGAACGTCTGCCATATTGCCCAGGACCTTCGCCATCTCATTCTCCTTGCTGGCTTACCCCTTCCAGGCTTCCTGGGCCTGGGTTAGAAGAGATTTGGGTTCAGAGAAGTTAACAGGTGATCACAGGAGGTAATCACTGAGTGTCCCGCAATTTTTCGGATTGGAAGATTTCCAAACTCATGTGCGTTCTAATGATAGCACTAGAACTCTTTAAAACAAAATTTTAAAGCTATTCTTACTTACGACTACACTTGGAGATGATGCATTCTTTTAAAATTGAATGATTCTGCCCTTGGGCAGTGTTCCAAATTAGGGAGGATTAGGTAACCTTTTTGCAGCAATGGGCAATGCCATTCTTTTCCTCATCGTGTTTTTGTTTGAGGACTTTTTCCCCCCCACATTAAGTGAGGCTGAAAATGGACAATGTGATTTTTTTGCAGCTCTAGCCTGACCTGCTTCCAGAAGGTGCATGTTTGCTTGGTGCAGTGCACAAACCATGGGATTCTTCCTGCTTTCCATGGCAGGAAAGGCAGCAAAGAATTTTCACCACTGGAGAATGGGAATCTAATGTTTTCAGTGGATTCTGGAGTAAATACCTCAATTTCTAGCACATTCCTGTATAAACCTGGACCCTGTGTGAGGTTTGCCCCCTGTTACCCAATTAGGGGTCTCTGGTTGTGAACAAAAGAAACTGACTCTTTCAAGTGAAAACAAGACCAACAAACAAAACTTTTCGTTTGGCCCCGGTAGAGGCAGAGACCAGAGCACCTTCAGGGATCTAGCTCAGGGGTTGGCAAATCTTTTTTGGCACAGGACCAGATAGTAAATATCTTGTGTGAGGCGGACCATCTAGTCTTTGTCACAACTAATCAGCTCTGTCGTTGTAGCACAAAAGCAGGTGTAGACAATACATAAATGAGTGGGCATGCCTATGTTCCAATAAAACTTTATTTATAAAAGAGGGAGCAGGTCATATTTGGCCCTCATGCTGTGTCTTGCCAGCCCCTATCTAGATGGAACAGTAATTAGAGGGTAATTTTTGTAGGGAGTTTCTGTCTTAATAGATCCCTCTGAACGCTCATCTACCCTGCTTAGGATCTAAATTCTCAGGCAAGTCTCACTGGCCCTGCTTGTTCCACTTGCCCACTCAATGATCAGGGAGGGGCAGAGTATCTTAATACATATTCTCCCCCAAGATGACATCCCTTGGGGGAAGAAAGGTTCCTTAAAGGAGAATTGGGCTGCCAGATATAAGGGGAAGTGTGCTAGGCAAGTAAGAACGACAGATGACCACCACCTCCTACCCCTGCAGAGACCATTCCTTCTCATTTTGGCCAGTGTGGATGATAGGTACAGGGTTTTTTCAAAGAAATGTTTACCTACGAAAACATGTCATCTTAAAAGGACAGGAAGATTGTTACCAAAAGAAGTCCAGAGTGAAATGCTGCAACACGGAAGAGAACTAAGAATCCCTGTTAATAAAAATAAACATTTTTTAAATGGCCGTATTGAACCTGGAGAAAAATTATGTAGAGCCCTTTACTTGGCTATGGAATTATAAAGCCCCAGACAGGCCCTGGGTTCAGATGGTTCAAGACTGTGCTCTGTAGTTCCTTGGCCCCAGCTGAGCACTGTCTCCATCTCTTTGGTCAGATTTTCAGTAGGAAACATCCTGTTGGTCACTGGACAGCCACTGGGGTGGTTGGCCATAAGTCAGGTGACCAGCCTTGCTCCATTCAAGCATATTGGAGGCAGGGTAGCATGTGGTTTATAGAGCTGTTGTTTCCAGTAACTTTAATTGAACCAGGCTGAATATCCTGTGACTGGTGCTATGTGAGCTAACAGGGACACAAGTTATGGCACTGAACCCTCTCAAGGAGCTTACCACACTTCATTGAGGCAATAATGTTCACAGGTGACAAAAGAATGAGACAAGATTGTATTTTCAAGGGAAGAACTCAGGGGCCAAAATATATATTACAAATGCACTTACAATATGGAAGTTCCTTCCTCACATTATATATTTTGGTTCCCAAACAAAGCCAATTAAAATAATGATTTTGTGTTTCCTGTTACGTCCTAAGCTGTTTAAAAATAGAAAACAGGGGTGGCTAGGTGGCTGAGTCAGCTGAGTGTCCAACTCTTGATTTAGGCTTAGGTCATGATCTCACAGTTTCATGAGTTTGAGCCCCACGTTAGGCTCTGTGCTGACAGGATAGAGCCTGCTTGGGATTCTTCCTCTCTCTCTGCCCTTCCTCTGCTCTCTTGCTCTCTCTCACAATAAATAAAATAGGGGCGCCTGGGTGGCGCAGTCGGTTAAGCGTCCGACTTCAGCCAGGTCACGATCTCGCGGTCCGTGAGTTCGAGCCCCGCGTCGGGCTCTGGGCTGATGGCTCAGAGCCTGGAGCCTGTTTCCGATTCTGTGTCTTCCTCTCTCTCTGCCCCTCCCCCATTCATGCTCTGTCTCTCTCTGTCCCAAAAATAAATAAACGTTGAAAAAAAAAAAATTTAAAAAAAAATAAATAAATAAATAAAATAAACATTAAAAACATTAGAAATAGAAAACAAGTATTTTCAAGTTTAGAGTCATTATACCAGAATCCTCCGAGAATAGAAATGGCATTTTTGTAAATCAAAAATTGCCTAAATTTTTTTTTAACGTTTATTTATTTTTGAGAGAGACAGAGCATGAACGGGGTAGTGTCAGAGAGAGAGGGAGACACAGAATCCGAAGCAGGCCCCAGGCTCTGAGCTGTCAGCACAGAGCCCAACGCCGGGCTCGAACTCACGAACTTGTGAGATCATGACCTGAGCCGAAGTTGGAGGCTCAACCGACTGAGCCACCCAGGCACCCCAAAAATTGCCTAATTTTTTTCTCAGGCAGAAGTCATAAATCTGTTTTCCTAATTTTCACATCTTAAAATTATACCCGATGTATTTTAAAGTCACCCGTAATTTGTCTGAGATGGGCAGAGAAATTGAAATTCGGTCCAACCATAAGCCAAAAAATATATTCAGAGCTTTATTTGGAACAAGCTGACCAGCAAAATGCATTGTTTGCAAGTATTTTGAAATAACCCTGGTTTGAGCTAGGATTCGACAGAAAGCACAGATCAGCCATCAGAACCCAGAACAAATGGGGCACTGGGATAGCTCAGTTGGTGAAGCATCTGACTTCAGCTCAGACCAGGATCTCACCATTTGTGAGTCCAAGCCTCTCTTTGCCTCCAGCTCGGAGCCTAGAACCTGCTTTGGATTCTGTGTTTCTGTCTCTCTCTGCCCTTACCCTGCTCGCTCGCTCTCTCTCTCTCTCTCTCTCAAAAATAAATAAAAATTAAAAAAAATTTTTTTTAAAGAACCCAGCACTAACAAAAAAAAATTGTCCAGTGCAGTTGGAAGCTTAATAATTCATGGGAATTGCATTGCTTTGAGGACAAGTTGTTATTTTATAGGCAAACTGATTTTACAACTTAGGGGTCACAGTGAAGGATACTAGCAAACACATCGGTTTTCAAAAGATAAGGACATTATGGAAAGAACAAAACCACTCAAGATGTAGATAAATAAGAGAACTCTGAGAAGCTTGTGTGGGAAATTAGCTGAACTGCAAACATAATTCTGTGACAACCAAGAGAGGGAGCGTTAGAAAGTGCCCCTGAAGAGAGGCTTGTCAATGTGGAATCCAATTAAGGTCCTTGGGGAAGTAAAAAATAAATTAAAAAGCGAATCTTGCTGCTATCAGCCACTAAAGTCAAGGCTATTCTGAAGAGAGAGACGGGAACATTCCCTGCAAGGAAATGATGTCTTAGTGACGTTCCACTACGCTTTGGGTAACTGAATGAATTAATACGGAAGTTCACTTTCAACAGTGGTGTCTCGTTAAGCATGTACTTTGACCTCTGTGTTGAAGTCAAATGTTGGTTCTAAACGAGCATTTGGATTTTGAAAAGAAAAGAGTTTCTCATTAGGCTATGGTATCTGTTAACACCTCCGTGCTTCTCAGAGCTGCAGAGAGGTTAAAAGAAGACAGTAAATGGAATTGCTTTGGAAGACATTATCACACATGGGGCATCTTTTGAACACTTCGTGAGTGCCGAAAGTGTGCAAGGGAGAAGCCCTTTTTCTGCCCTCCAGGTTTTTATAAGGCATGCCCATTAAACAACCCCACAGAGTGGAAGTTCTCATAACGGCTTTTTGACCACGGTGGGAAATTTGAGAACGGATTCTGTCACATTTGTCTCTGACTTTCCAACCAGCTGCTTTTTGGGTCACTGAGATGTTGATCCAGGTAGGGATTAACCTGTTGACTGATGTCTGATGTGTTCAGTGTTCCAGTACCTGTGCTGGTGGATCCCAGCGACGTGTTGTGGTATGTCAGGACGAAAATGGATACACTGCAAATGACTGCGTGGAGAGGATAAAACCCGATGAGCAAAGAGCCTGTGAATCTGGCCCTTGTCCTCAATGGGCTTATGGCAACTGGGGAGAGGTGAGAGTGAGCCATCCTTTTGTACCTCCTTTGGAAAGAACACAGAGTAATTTTGCTGACCAAACTGTGCTGTTGTTCGTGATCTATTTTAAGGGAGAAGAATGAATTCTGGTGAGAGCTTCTTGATTTGGGATTAACCACGAGACCTGTCTTAATTCCAGACCATCTTAAAAGTACAGTCATTACCAATGAGAAACAGCTTAAACACATAGGAGAGGAAAATTAGGAAAGAATACAGATAAATGCTAGGCTAGATTGTTTGTTAACCTCTGCTGATTAAAAATGGGACACTTTTAAGGTAATTGGACATATGTGTTAAATTGGTCCATGAAAACGTTACCATCCTTTTCATAGTTTGGGGCTGTTTATAATTTACGCTTGTTCCCATGGCATAATCATTCTGGTGTTCCAAATCCTTGATGAAACCAGAATGAATAGGTGCTGTTATTCCTACCGGAGCTGATGCGTTCTAATGGTGGACGGGAATAATTAGCTCTATAATATCAAGTAATAAAATTCTTCAGCTGTTACCTTTTAAGAGTAATGACCAATGAGGGGCAATAGACTATTTGCACCAGACAAAACTGGATTCCATTCCCGGTGCTGACCCTTCCAAGCTTTGTCACCTGGGAAAATTATATAACTTTACCAAATGTCTGTAGCCTTGTCTATAAGTGGGAATAATCATGGCACCAACTCATGACCTATTGCATGAGATAGTGCACGACCAATACCTAGCATATATAGTCTCCAAAGTTCGCTGCTATTACAATCATCATCATTATCCTCACTACAACTACCCTTTATCATTAGGATGACTACTAGTATCAAATAGGGTTTTGAGCCACTCTTTTGTGGAGGGCTTACATGCTTATTGTTTTGTGTTTGATTGACCAAGAATGACCTCTACTCTTGAATCCTCAGAGAGAGCACATACTTAAAGCTTGTGGAATTGCTCTGTCTTGACTGTCAACTTTATAAAATAAAACGTGAAGGTTAACGTCTTGCAGACCCCAGTGCCAAGAGGGGGAGAAAGACAAGTGAGAGGGATGGGCGTGTTAGTCCACGCTCCTGGAGAACCCAAATCACGTGTCCCCGGTTTCACATAACCCAGTAGTAATAGGCAGTCATAATGGAGCGTTCTGTTAACTTTCGTTGACGGTGCGCCGTTCTGGAGGGCTTTGCCGAAAGGCAGGAAGGGGGAGTCAGGCTTTGAGACTCATGCGTTGTGGGTTTCCCAAAACTCCTCACAGAGTTCTGTCCTGTGGGGCTTGTGATTAAGCTTCTGTAATTGGACCAAAGCCAGGAGAGTACACGCATTCACTGGGATGCTTGCTGTCAGCGCAGACCAGATCATTCCAAATTCTGTGGGAGATCTGGCCTCGACACAGCAGGAAAGCCAGATGTCAGTGTTCCTGGATGTGAGCACAGCAGTGCCGTCCAAGAAACACAGCTCTTTCCTGCCTCAGAAGTTCGGGTCTCCCCCTCCACATTGTTTATTCATCCTGGGGAAAATCATCATTATCCTGAGATGCGGAGATAGCGTAAAATATCTTAACGTCGTAAAGGTCTGGGGAGGTTGGAGTCACATAATAGCCACAAGTTGGTAACAGCTTCTTACAAGCTGCCAGAAAATAAAACTGGCTCAGTCATTATTTCCTTTATTTGGTAGTGGGTGGTTTCGGGATTTTTATTGGTTTGATTTTTGCCTCTGTATACCTCCAAGAAAAGGCTGTAATCTTATCCTAGTCACTTACTGTCGAATTGGCTATGATCAAGTTAATTAACCTCTTTTAAGCTCCGTTGTCCCATTTGTAAAATGGGGCAAATAACTATAGTCTCCTCCTGATGAGACGAGACAATGCCCACACCAGCGCTTAGTACAGGGGAAGGAAAGCACTCAAGAGACGACGATGCCTACCGTTAAGTCAGGGAACTCCAGTCTATCGTATATAATAATTTTTGTAACTCAGCTTGGTCCTGCCTAGAGACCAGTGCCGTGATAGAATTTGGTTAAGAAATTGTTCTTAAGGGAAAGAAAGGAAAATTTGTCGGTGGCTGTTCAGACCGAGTGACCACAGCATCATTTTCCCCTCTTGCAGTGCACAAAGCTATGCGGTGGGGGCTTGCGCACAAGACTGGTGGTCTGCCAGCGGCCCAGCGGTGAGCGGTTTCCAGATCTGAGCTGTGAAATCCTTGATAAGCCTCCAGATCGCGAGCAGTGTAACACACACGCTTGTCCGCAAGACGCTGCCTGGAATCACGGCCCTTGGAGTTCGGTACGGCCCTAACTCTTAATGTTCGTTAACCAAACTATTTGACTAACATGCCTGATTCCAAGGTGTTCTGGGTCGCACTCCTCTGCGACAGCCAATGGTCTTGCTCCCAAGGGCATCCCCGGGACTGTGCTATGGTCTGTGATTGTCCTCATACTGACAAACAGGAGAATTAATTTTTTTGTGGTATTGCCGAAGTGACTTTACAGAATACATGTACCTCATATTGGCCTGGGGCCAATGTCAAGAAGTAGCTTCCTTTTTGAGAAAAGCAAGACTGGATAGATAGATAGATAGATAGATAGATAGATAGATAGATTTTTTTTTTTAAGAAATGAAATACGTTCATGTAGTTATTAAGCTCCAAAGTGATTTAAACAGACAACTCAATAGCAGACATTCTTTCCTTTCCTAAGCTACGAGAGTTTTGACTTTGTGGGGAAGATACCTGCGTATTGAGGCCAAACCAATTTTTTTTTCTTCAATGACTGTAATTTGCCTCTGTATGACTCGGGTACGACTCTCGACGCAATCACCGTAAAGCCTGTGCCCACAAAAAAAGACTGAAATCATTCTGACAACGCAAAAGACCAGCGACAGTGGACTCCATGACTTGTTGCCTTTCAAGGCATCTGAAATGTTCCCTCCCTCTCCCCAAGACACAAAGCCCGTTTGAGGCGCTTTTTTGCATCAGTCTGAGGCTTCCCTTGCTATGGGCTCGCTGACATTGTGAGACAGGTTTTCCACTGTAAAAACTATGCAAACTTCTGGGGCGGCTCTTGGCAAACAGAAGGTCGGCTGGCTACGTCAAAACAATTCTTTGGCTGAGTTGTGTCATAATCTTTGGAGCCGTTAGGGCTGTTTCATGTAAATAGAGTAAACGTTTCTGTAAATACATTGATTGCACTGAATCGGAATTTAGTATTATATGAAGTCATATCCAGAAGCCTTTTTGGCTGCATAGGGTTCTGAGGGAAAGTCTTAACCATTCCTGAAACCAGATGAAGAACAGATTAACAGAAGTGAAATGTCTAATACCTGTCGATGCCTCTTAGAATCAGGGTTTTCAGGGTCTGAGATCATGTCTGCAGGTAGAACCTAGCTACATAAGCACTGTACTTAGTATGAAGTAGAAAGCCAGAAAACTTTAGAGTATCATCTCTACTGGAACTATTTAGCTGGGCTGCAAGGCTTTCCTTCAAGAGCTTAAGAAATGCCACTCTGAGTCAGATGTATCTTCACCCGAAGCATTTTGTCTGCAATACTGGCACCCTCCCAAAATGAACATTTTGAAAAAGATCAGAAATGGCTATAGAATGTCAGGAACATCCTCTGGCACTCCCAACTTCCCTAACTCACCTTTGACGTATTATTTTTCATGAAATTTCCCCTCTCGAGCCCATTATATTTTTACCTTGTTCGCTCATCCAACAGCAACACCACCCCAGAGTTGTGTCTCAAAACCTCTAGCCCGCCAAAAAAGTTCTTTTTCTTTAATTTCGACCAA